TTCAGCACCGAAAAGTATAGTTATATATGTAAAACAAAAGAAGTGTGTAGTGGAAAATATGGATATTTTATTCAACTGATCGAAGGCTTTTATATAGGCTTACACAAGAGAACTAATCTACCAATATTCTAGTAAGATAAAACCTAAATAAATCCCAAAAGACTCACAACTAAGACTTAAGACTTGCAATTAAAAGACTTTGTCATACTGACCAAGTCAATACAACGTTTATTTTTAATTATTCTAACAATATATATATATAGTTACTTAATTAGTAATGATAGAATCCAACGATTCAAATCAAAATGCATCACTTTTCCTTGCAAGAACTGAGGCATGAGACTGATGAGAGTCATGTCATTTGTCGGTTAGTGATTGAGATCGCAGACTACAATTGTCTCTCGCACGTGCTACGAATTTAGTTTTGAACTTGTTTACTTTTCAGCGGTAAAAGACCAAAACCACGTGGTATGAATTTAGTTTTGGATTTGCGGATTGCGGTTATTTATTACTCTCTTTCTTTTTCCTATAAATAACTTTTTTTTTAAATCTATTTTTAGTTATATAAAAAAAAAGCACACTAGTGTTTGTGACAAAAAAAAATAAAATAAAGCACACTAGTGTACATGGCAAAGTACTCACTCGAAATACACATAAATTCAAGAATTATTTCATCAAAAATCACAAGATTGACAAAATAACAAATTTTTCCTAAATTCAATGAAAACTCATTTACTTTTCAGCGTTCGACGATTAACTTATGTCAAAGAGCAAAAGCATTTATTTAGAAAAAAAAAAAAAAAGAGCAAAAGCATTTTTCATTGTATTGTTAGAATGCTCGGTCATCATAATAAAAGTCACATACAACAAACATAAAATAAAAGTCCAATTCAAATCACAAAAATTCAAACAAAAATGGACGAAAATACGAAGACGTCACTACCTAATTAGCTGTGGATTAAATACTTCTCTAAATCCGATGGTAAGATTCATTCCAAGTACACTAGAGAAATCTAAGAACAAAAAAATCTCAGTCTTCTCTACTTATTAGACAAGATGGTACAGAACATAACAAACAAAAACCATACCACTTTCCTTTTACCTCTCAATCAAGGTAATCTTGCAATTTTGCTTCCTTTTCTTAATAATGTTTTGATATATAAACTCAACTGACTGCTCAAAAGTTGAGAACATCACCACAGAAACTGAAACCACATAAGAGAGAGAAACAAAAAGATATATTTTTGGTAGAAAACATAACCATAACCATGTCAACAGAAAATGTGAAATGGACATCCATAGCTCAAGTATTTGTTTCGTATCCTCAAAGGTAATGCCTAAAATTGAATGATTTGATTACGTAACTCCCGGTTTAACAAGCAGTCAATCATGTAATCAAATCATTCAGAGAGATGATGATGTTCAGATAGATATAGTGAACTCAGGAATTGCACAAAGTAGTAAATATTACATGGAATAATCTGACACCTAAGCGGACAAAGTCCCCTGTGGAAATGAATACCATTTTGC